AAAGCAATGAGTCCGGTGGACTAGTGACCACTGAGCCACCAGCCCCCACAACCCTGAGACCAGCAGAATGAGAGGGTGCCCAGCTGTCCCTGTCCCTGTCGCTGCTCAGAAAGGGGTCCCACGGAAGGCCCTGGGTAGAGTGGGGGAAACCGTGGAGCAGAACTCAAAGCCCTAAGAGAGACCAGGCTTATTGGACAGACAGAGACAGAGGGACACCCTGCCCACCACTCCCACTCTAGCTCCCTACTCCCACCCCTGGTAACGAGGGCCTTTCGTGTGAACCATCAAGCGTGTAAGACAAGAAGGCAGTGGTTCAGTGTAGCTCTTCTCCCTGCAAGGACCTGGTAAGAGGGGGTGCCATCCTGTTAGGTATAAGAGGAGCCTGTTGAGAAGTAGGAGGAGGGTCCTCATGATCAGCAAGAGCCAGGAGTGGACATGTCCTCTGGACCCAAGATCCCTGCACAGGGATCCTCCTGGATCCAGGTGACAGCTGTACCAGCAGCAGCAGAACCAGGAGCCAGAGCAGGACACAGAGTGAGGGCCTTCCCAACCCTCGGAGCAAGTCAAGCTGAGGGCTTTTGTGTGGGAGGCTGACTTGCGGAGTGGGGACCTCCGGGCACTTCATTGGGGAAGTTGGATCTGCTGACCCATGAAAGTGGATCTCAGTGCCTTCGGGCTGAGGCTTCCTGGAGTGGGTGCCTCTGGACACTTCGCTCTGGGGGCTGGGTTTGCTGACCCGGGGAGCTTGAGCTGAAGCCTTCAGATGAGGCTTCCAGCAGAGTGGTCTCTCTCCGTGGGCATGCATCATCAGACATCAGCAGACCTGAAGCTTCAGTACAGGTCCTGGTAAACAACTCTCCTGAGTACTTCTCACCGGTGCACATCCTTAGTAAACCCTTGCAGCACGGATTTTGTCTGTGAGTTTGTGTATAGCCATTGCAACAGACCTTAGAACCTAGAGGTCAAGTCCAGATACATTATGGTTCTGGTGGTAGAGTGGGCTGCGAGCCACAAGGTCCGAAGTTAGAGACTACTAGCTGTCCGGAGGGACAGAAATGGGGTTTCTGCTCCTCTATACAGTTACAGTCTTAGAAACTCACAGGGGCAGTTAGACTCCTTCCTACAGGGTCCCACTGAGTCGCAATGGACAGGCTGGCCATGTTTTGATCAGTTTTCCTAGCCCTGGCCTTTGTTACTCCCTTTACCCTGACGAGTTCAGGTCAGAGGAGGTGGGGGTGGGAATGCCGATTGGATGTGAGGATTCAGCTATGAGTGACCATTAGCAGGGCTGATTGTAATGGCCATCCTGCTGGGTATAACATGTGTCATCTCAGAAGCGGGAGGGGGAGAGCTCACTGGCAGAAAGAGGGAAGAGCCAAGAGTGGAGCGCGTCCTCAGGACCCTGAGATCCCTGTGCAGTGAACCTCCTGGGACCAGGAGACAGCTGTGACACCGGAGCAGCAGCAGCACCAGGAGTCAGAGCAAGACAGGTCAGCCCACAGAGCAAGTCAGGCTGAGCACCTGTGGACGAGCGACCGGCTTGCAGAGTGGGGTGCCTCTGAGCCCTTGACTGGGGGAGCTGGGTGTGCTGACTCTTGGGACTAGTGCTGAGTGAGTTCAGGCTGAGGCTTGAAAAGTGGCGTGCCCTTTGGGGACTTAATGGCAGTCCAAAAGGCACTTGGTCACATTGCCTGAACAGGGCAGAGATGAGGCCAAAGGACTGCAGGCCAGAGAGAGCCTTGCCTGGAGACCCAGCAGAGTAGAAAGGGTCCTGACGGGACAACTGTATCCTGAGCACTTCTCTTCGGAGCGGTAACTCCCCAGAATTGCGCATGCAGTCGGTGAGTTCTGTGTGGCTGCGGCAATGGATTTCTCAAACCCAGCCACAGAAGTTGAGGCGTCCTGGCGGTGTCATGGTTACGTGCTGGGCTTCGAGCCACACGGTTGGCCGTTGAAAATCACCAGCAGCTCCGAGGGAGAGAGACTGGGCTTTCTGCCCCATGGACAGTGAGTCGTGGATCAGTGTGAATGAGGGGGAGTGCGGAGTGGAGACCCAAAGCCCGTCTGTAGATAATTGGACCTCTCCTTACAGAAGGGTTATGAGGAAGAGACGAGCCAGTCAGGGTGCAGTATAGCACCGTTGAAACTTGCAACTTTCCTCTAGTTCTTTAATGCTTCCTCCTGCGCACTATTGTGACCCCAATTCTACCTTACACATGTGGCTAGAACAGAGCATGTACATGGGTACAGATCAGAGATGGAAACATAGGGAACCCAGGACAGATAAACCCTTCAGGACCAATAATGAGAGACGTAATACCAGGAGGGGAAGGGGAAGGTGGAGGGAGAAAGGGGGAACTGATCACAATGATCTACATATAACCCCTTTCCAGGAGGACGGACAACAGAAGGGAGTATAAGACATGAAAAAATAATAATAATTTATAAATCATCAAGGTTTCATGAGAGAGGGAGCGTGTAGGGAGGGAGGGCAAAATGAGGAGCTGATACCAAGGGCTCAAATAGAAAGAAAATGTTTTGAGAATGATGAGGGCAACAAATGTACAAATGTGCTTGACACAATGGATGGATTGTGATAAGAGTTGTATGAGCCCCCAATAAAATGATTTAAAAAAAACCCAACCAAAACAGTCGTGGAAACCCACGGTGGGGCTTGATATGAGTTGGCATCAACTCGGTGGCAGTGAGAGCCACGGCAGTGGAGTGTTGGGGACACTAGAAGGGAGGGATGGCTGGCATTAGACCTGCGTAAATGTGGTCAGAAGGTAGAAGGATGTCTGGCTGATTTCAAGGTAGCTGTCAATCAACCTTGAACGCTACATGTGAACAGCTGTGGCCACCCCATTGCGTTGCTCCATGTCAATCGGATCCTACCTGAGAAGAGATGATGTGACTGATCCTCAGCCTGAGAACAGGGCCAGACTGCTCTAAGCTAGCGGGGGTGAGAGTGGGGGTGGGGGCTTTTCTCCCTGCCAAGAGCCATTTGGCTATTGGTAACACTATTGGAGGGCCATCCCGGTCAAACATTTCACAAACTCGCCCCTCAGGTGAGGGCAGGGACTGCTTCTCTTTGGCGCCGTGGGTGATGCCAGCTGGCATTGGTGATGTCCAGGGTCTTCTATGACCTGTGGACTGGACGTTCCTGGGGAGAAAGAGGAGGCTTTCTACTCCCATAAAGAGTTTCAGAAGGCTCCCGAGAGGCAAGGTGGCAAAATGTCATCTCACATCGTCTGGACGTGTTGTCAGGAGAGACCAGCCCCTGGAGAAGGACACCATGCTTGGTACAGGGCAGTGAAGAAGAGGACGACCTTTGACCTTTGACCAGATGGACCGGACATGGCGGCGGCAAACCCTGGGGTCACACTGTGAGCGTGGCAGGACTGGGCAGCATTTCGTCCTGTTGTACATTGAGGTCGCTGTGGAAGGACGGCACTTCACAATAGCGGCCACAGAGTCACGCTCTCAGGTGCCCACAGGGGCAGCTATACCTGTCCCACCGGTCCGCTATGAGTCAGAATCCACTCGCTGACGATGCGTTTGCTTTTGTTTGGGGTTCTCCCCTCACCCCAAGTTTGTGCCCAGTCCCTGCTCTTCAAAGCCACGCGCGTGGTCCTGTTTGGAAACAGGGTCTCCTTGGCAAAGGTAGTGAAGCCGCACTCCAGGGAGTAGACTCCGCATCCTGCTGCTTAGCATTCTGAAAAGAGCAGATTAAATGCAGACAACAGAAACGTGGGCGAAGGGAGACATCTGTCAGTGAAAGACATGAAAAAAATTGATAAATTATCAAGGGTGCAAGACGGAGGAAGGGTGGGGAGAGAAGGGAAAAAAAGAGGAGCTGATACCAAGGGCTCAAGTAGAAAGACAATGATTTGAGAAGGATGATGGCAACAAATGTACAAATGTGCTTGACACAATGGATGGATGGATGGATGGTGATAAGAGCTGTATGGGACCCCAATGAAATGATTACCAAATAAATAAAAAATAAATGCAGGCACACGCATGTGCACACCCACCCCCCACAGGCACATGTGCGTACACATTCGTGGGGAAGCTGGACACCCCATGAGAACTGCCCAGAAGCTGGAGAACCAGGGACCACCTGGCACTGCCAATGGGGTTTTCATAGGGCTGAGCCCCGTGTCGGACCTCTAGCCTCCAAACTGGGGGACACCGCCGGGTGACTCTATTTCCTCTTCCTCACCCCCCTGGCCCAGCCCTGGGCTCAGGGGCCACCCCTTCCAGAAAGAATTCGGAGTCCTCCAGTCCTCTGCACCCCATCCCGCTGACTGTGCCACCACTCTGCCACGGTCACCCATGATGTCCGCACCTTTTGTTCTCCCCTTTCCCTGGGGCCCTCGGCCTGGCTCTTGGGAGACCCCAACAGATGGAAAGACACCTGTGTCTTCTTTGATGGATTTGAACTTCCAGGATGGGACCTGGTGGCGGCTTGTGGGTTTGTTGGGCTGATGACATCAAGGTTGGAATTCAAATCGACCAGCTAGAAAGATGAGGGAGTCGGGTCCCCAAAGATGACAGTCTCAGATACCCCAAGGTGTCCACCTCTCCCTTCTGTCCACAGGCTGGCCATGAGCTCCAGTCTCAGGGGATTCAGTTGGGTTTTGGGGTCACAACTGCAGTCGCATTAAGGTGGAAGCTGGGGCCTGCTGTCCCCCAAACCATCAGTGGCACCCTGCCCACCAGGGGCTCCCCAGGGCCAGGCTGAGAAGGAAGGAAGGGAGCAGCCCAGGGAGAGTGTCACCGTGGGCTCTGGTTGCTGAAGCCCCTGGGGCCTGGGACTGGGAGGCTGGCGCTCCAAGACGCAACGCCCCCGGTTCCACGGGGTCACTGCCTGGCTGCCGCCCTCGGGGACTCCGGTGACCCCGGGCGGGAGCCGCCGGGTGGGGGCGGAGGCTGTGCAGGCGAGCTGGCCGCGCCCTCCTGGCCTTCACTCCCAGGCTAAGCGACTCCGGTGACCCATGTCGTCCGCCCCTCCGCGCCCGCCGGTCCCGCGGCCACCCAGGATGAAGAAGGAGGAGTCGTTCCTGGGCAAGCTGGGGGGCACGCTGTCCCGGAAGAAGCGGGCCAAGGAGGGTGAGTGCCCGCCGGGTCCGCGCACGCGCTCCTGTCCCCTCCGGACCCGGCGCACCCTCACCCCCACCCATCCCGCACCCTGTGTCTTCCCCACGCTCCGCGCGGCCGCCCGCGGCTGCGACCTTCGGGACGGGCCTTGACCTCCGCGCCCTACGTTTGCGGGTGGTGCCTGGTGGCCCGGCTCCCGCTCTCGGCGACTCACTCAGCAGCCGGCAGGGTGGAGTCGCCGCTGCTTCCGCGCTTTCTTCTTCGGAGCTGCACCACCGAGCGGCCATGTGCGCCCTGCGAGCTTGCATTGAATGAGCATTTAGCGGACAGGGTGTGGGGAGGCAGTGCTAGGTGGCGCCGGGGACCCTGTCCTCCCAGGGCACGCGGTGGCGCACCGGCCTGGGAGCCGGGCCGCTGTGGGCTCTGCCTCTGTGCTGCCCCAGGTGCCTCTCTGAGCATCACTCCCTGGACCTTTTTCGTCCCCTACTTGCCTGCTGGGAAGGCTTTGAGCTTGGAAGGGGTGTGACTTCAGGACTCCAGCGTCCCTGCTTCTCAGGCTGCTCCAGGGAGCTGCGTGCAGAATCCCTCCAATGAGGGCCAGCGGCCACCCTCAGGCAGGGGGTCTGCTGAGATGCTGGCTGGGTGGGGATGGGGATCAGCTGTGAAAGGATCAGGAGAGGGGGAAGGAGGTGGCCCTCCAAAATCACCTGGACCCACTGGGAGCTGTAGGACAGAGGCAAGCGGGTCGCCGAGGCTGTGGGTCTCTCCAGCCTCAGCTCTCTCAGACAGCATGGCTGGGGGGTTTCTGTTAGCAGCTGAGCGCTGAAACCACGCACCACCAGGGCTGCTTTGAGGTGTGGGGTGGGCTTTCCTCACATGGCCTGAGTCTGATTTACCCCTAGAGAGGCTTCTAGTGACTCAAGGTCAGTCACCTGGGACCCGGGAGCCAAGTTTCCCTGCAGGGATAGCCTCTTCCATCACCATCGCCACCAGCCCCAGGGCTTTGTGGACCCGGAGTGGGGGGAGGGAGGAAGAGGTGGCCCAGGTATTCCCTCCGGGGACACGTGCCCCCCCCCCCAGGCACGAGTGTGTCACTGAGTCAGACTGGTCCTGAGGTTGCTGCAGCCAGTAGTCCTGTCCTCCTCCCCCCCACCCCCCACCCCCAGGGCAGGGCCTGGTCCTTGTGGAAATCTTTACAGGCAAATTCTTTACTCTGGTCTGACCCCCACTTAGGAGCACCAGTCCCCTTTACTGCTGACCTGTGAAATCCCACTTCTGGTGACCCCAATGTCAGGGTCCAATTGTACTCCACAAGGGTTTCAAGGGCTGCTGTTTCTGAAGTTGACCACCAGGTCTTTCTTCTGAAGCACCTGTGGGTGGACTGGAACTTCCAGCCCTCTGGGTCAGCAGTGATGTCATTAACCCTCTGCAGCGCAAGGAGACCCCCCCCTCCCACCCCCTATGGGTGCAAACTGGCTCATCTTACTCTCTCTGCAAGACCTCTCTTGAGGAGAAGGCTGGGGATCTTTTTTCTTCTGCCAAGGGCCATTTGGATATTTATAACAGAGGAGTTCTGGTGGGGGTATGGCTATGAGTCAGGCTGTCCATTGCGAGGTCAGCAGTTTGAAACCACCAGCTGTTCTGTGGGAGAAAGACAGAGCTATCTACTCCTGTACAGAGTGACCGTCTCAGAACCTCACAGGGGCAGTTCTACCCTGTCCTATAGGGCCGCTATGAGTCGGCATCAACTCGATGGCAGCGAGTTTGTCTCGGGCCATGCTGGTCAAAACATTAAGTGGACTCACTCCTAATGAGATGGCCAGCACTGCTTCTCTCTGACGAGGGAGGCGTGTGATATTAGCTGGAACCCTGGTACCATAGTGGTTATGCGCCGGGCTGCTAACCACGAGATCACAGGTTTTAGGGCAGGAGAAAGATGAAGCCCCATGCCCCCGTACAGAGTTATAGTCTCGGAAACATACAGGGTCAGTCTTTCTGGCCCTCCACGGTTGTTTGCTGTGGGTCAGCACTGACTCGATGGCAGTGAGTCAGTCATATGGCTGCCCCTGCTCTAGGGGCAGTGGACATGGGCCCCCTTTCTGCCTGGCGTCCCGGGGTGCACACGACCAACTCTTGTTGCCTTCACCCCAACTTGCTTTTCTGCTCCTGTCTCTGCCTGCACTTGACTTCCTCCCGGCACCCCCATCACCTCCGAGGGTTGGGCACGATGCTGCCCCTCGGGGAACAAGAGACAGAATCGGCTTTGTCTTGCCGTGCTGTGCTGGGGGCCGTGATGCGGACTGTGTGCACTCACACACGTGCCCCAGAGCCGGTGGTGCAGGGCAGTCGGTTGAGCAGCGGAGCCCACAGAGCCCCCCCACCGGGACCACTGTGAGAGTGTGAGTTGAAGGAGCATACCATGGAAATTGTGTGGAATGTTGCAGACGACGGAAGTGCTTTGTGGCTGAGACTCCCTCATGGCTGCTGGGCAATGCCCTGTGTGCTGTCTAGGGTTGACAGATCCTTCCTTCCGGGGCTCTGCTTGGTGGGTCTGAATGGCCAATCCCTTGCGTTAGCAGTGGGGTATGACTAGGGACCAACAGATGGCACCTGTAGCTCAAAGAACATTCCTGGGGCTCCCGGTGGCACGGTGCTCGATTCTGGCCCGGGCCCCAGAGGTACCTTGGAAGAAATATCTGGCAACCTACTGCTGGAGGGACCGTCACTGAGGATACGGGATGTCACCATGCGTCAGAGGCCACTTGAAGGCACCGGTGACTTCACGCCAGGGACACATGCCCAAAGCCAAGTGGGTGTCATCCGTGCTTGTGTGAACCAGCATGTGGTGACCTGGTTGCAGTCGGGCACACCAAGACTCCCTGCCGTCAGCATCTTCCTGTGAGCAAGGGAGTAATTCGGACAACGGTGTGTGAATTCGGGTCCCCTGCCACCATTGTCAAGGCCTGAGGACCTGGCACCCTGAAGGACCCCTCTGACAAGCTGAGGGAGGAGCGTCCAGGCTCGGGAAGACGGGGTGCCTTCTGCTTGTCAGGGTGAGTAGGCAAGACCCCTAATGAGGCCTTGAGGATTGGCGAATAATGGAGAGCTGCCAATATTTCTGCTGCCCTGTTGCCTTGGCAACTCATCTTCCTGGGGGGGGCGGCGCGTGTGGGTCATGTGATTGATGATTTGAGAGCAGGGCGGCTGGTGGCTGGACGGTGGCTGTTGGAGCTGCTGCTGCTGTTGCTGAGTCTTGCAGGGGGGGGTGGGAGTGGCGGCCCAGGGGGACACTCTCAGGACCCCCCAGTGGCGGCGCTGTGCTATCAATTTCACGGCACCTGAGCTAGAAAGCTGCTGGCCAACCTGGGACCGCCCGTGGGGCTCCAGAACTTTCCCTTGAGAGGAGGACCCCTAGAGGGGCCTGCTGGGGGGCAGGCAAGGACTGTTGGTGAAGGAGAGATTATGAGGAGCCAGGATGGCACTGTGAGCCAAGGATTGGGCTGCTGGCCCCAAGGTTGGCGGTTCAAGTCCACCAGCCACTCACTCTGGGGGCAAATCAGGAGGTGGCCCGCTCTCGGAAGGATTTACAGCCTCAGAAACTCCACAGGAGAGGGGTGCCTGTGGGTCGGTTCCAGCATCGGTGGCGGGAGGTGTGGTGGACACTCCATGGACAACCGAGTTGTCGCAAGGGCAAGAGGTGGCCGGTCGGTCGCCTTGGAGTCGAAATACGATGTTTTCTCTGTGTGCGCGCCTGTGCACTTTAAATCACCTCCCCAAGGGTCACTGCCAAGTCTGCGGACACCAGCTGTCCACTCCAGTGAGTTCCCCGGAGGTCACCCCATCTTTTCCACAGAGTGATCAGTGAGTGCACGCAGGACCCCCAAACACCTGAGGCCTTCCGCACCGCCTCAGAAAAAGGGGTGCTAAGATTCAAGGTGCTGTTGCCAAGTCCACAAGGGACGCCACTGGTGGAGGAGGCCCGGGGCTCCTAGGCTGCCTTTCCGAGCTGGTATCAGGAGCTTGTTGCCTTCTGTGGCGCTGTGGGGTGGGTTTGAACCTCCAGCCTTTGACGCATGCTTCTCTAGACCAGGTGTATTTCACTTAAGGTGCCGGCAGTGGAGACTCAGCCTGGCTGTGTTCCCCAGCTGCATTCGCTCTGGGCAGTCAAGGAGGGCGGCCGCCACCCAGTGCCCCTCAGCAGAGGCATGGATAAACAGCACATGGTCAGCCACCGCCCCCCCTCCCACCCGCGGAGGACCCCGCTCACTGCTGCAAAGCGGAGGGATGTTCTGGGGCAGCAGCCGCCTGGCTACCCCTGGGGGACATCAGGCTGCTGGACAGACGCACTCGAGCTGCAGCAGGACAGTTGGTGGGGGCCCCAGGGAGGCCTCGGGAAATCAGTGGTCAGCAAGGGCCCGGGGAGGAGAGGGGGGTCATCAGCGCTTCGGGACAGGGTTTCTGTTTGGGATGATAGACATGTTTTGAAAATGGTTACATTGAAACAGCGATGCGGAAGACCAGATAGGACCCCTTTGAGGTTGGGGGTGGGGGTGCTCGTTATCACTTCGCGGACAGGGTTTCTGTTTGGGATGACGGGCCTGTTTTGAAATTGGGCAATGCTGATAAGAGCGAAGACGATGCTGCTGCCGGAGACGAGAGCAGACCCGTGTGAGCCCGCCCAGGGGCAAGGGGCCGGACAGCTTGAAACCTGTCCCCCTGCTCCTCGGAGGTCCCTGCAGAGGCTGCTGCACCGGAGCATGTTTCGCCCCAGGGCAGTAACGGAGCAGATCAATTGTATAAAACAGCGCCTGCAACCCCAGGGGTGTGGCGGTTATTCTTGACGGCGGATAGGTTGAAAAGGCTGAGTGTGTGCCGTCCGTAGTTCATGCTATCAAGTACACTTAAAAAGGCTGCCCAGGTGCGCATCTGAGTTAATGCAGGCTGGCAGTCACCTGCCAGGTGGAATGATGGCAGCGTTTTGCAGTTGATGGAGCACTGCATGCCCCCACCGT